GGGGACATGGATCCTGTCAGTGTTGGTGTGGATAGGGAACATTTAGGAGAATTAAGCAGACTTTAATTGCAGTGCAGTGTTGAGCTGTTTAATTTGCACCTGAAAGGAACAGCAGTGGTGTCCTAATTAACTGAGACAGAGGTTATAAATTAAGGCTTCCAGAGAGGTCCTCAGGGTTTGCCTTGTCAGGATTCTTGTGGAAGGGTTTTGGAGGTTGCCCAGAGAATTACGTTGCAGGGGGCTTTAGGGATTTAGGGTCCGAAGCCCATGCTCCTACCAGCCCTGGAATGGAGGGTCACTGTGTCCATGCACCAGAGACTCCAGGGTCCCAATCAGTATCCTGTGTGTGTGTGTGTTGGTGGCCAAGGGTGGCAGAGAACCTACACTGGGAGGTCCGAGAGGCCCTGCTCTAGTCCCTCCCTCTGTCATGGAGGCTACTGGGAGCTTCCTGTCCTGACCAAGCCACCCCTCATTTCTGTTAGATGCTTCTCTACTGCACTTTGACTCCTCCTGCCCTTCTGTCACCCACACCATGAAGTCAGGGTGATTCTACCCCTGAAGTGCCTCTCAGGTCTGTTTGGGTTTTTTTTCAACTAGCATGTAAATTGGCTTGTATATGCCCAGCGTTGTTCAAATCTCTTTGCAAATAAAATGTACTTAATATCTATTCTAAGCTGATTACTTGTATTAGATTCATTTAATCTTCACAAAGTCTGTGAGGAATTGTTAGCCTGATTTACAGATGGGTAAACTGAGGCACCGGGGATGCATGACTTGCCTTAACCTCACAGAGCTAGGAAGTAGCAGAGTTGGGGTTTGAACCCAGACCACGTGGCTCCAGGGTTTGGGTGCTCAGCCACCTGCCTTTGCCCAGCAGGGCCTGCCATCGCCCCAGGCTCAGTCTCAGCATTTCCTGCCTGAGTTGCTGCACATGGTGGTCCTACTTTCTGAAAATTTGAAGTTATGTGATGTAAATATATTAATAAGTTCTCAATTAGAGTATATTTTGAAATACTGTAACTCTCTTCAGTTAAAAAAAAAAAAGTCAACAAGCCTTTCCAGGTGCGCAGGCCCGGGGAACTATGACATATAGCGACGCTATTTCCACAGCCTGTGGCACAGGTGAGTGGGTCAGTCCTTGGGCACCACAGTACGCTGCTATGCTTTGGAAATTTAGTGAGTCCATGACTAGTGCCCGGTTCTGTTGTCAGGCACTGTTGTTATAATTGAAAATCTTTTTTATGTCCCATAACAATGGCATCCAAGTGACAGTTAAGTGGTAGAGCCTACAGTAGTGTTCCAAAAATGGAACTAACATCAGTAGCTTGGGACCAGAGGTGAGAGGTACTAAAATGCCACAAAGAAGGCTGAACAAGCACACACAAGCTGCTGCCAAGTTCAGGAGCAAGCCCCCTGCCAAATACAGGAGACGCTGCTGAGCGACTGGAAAGCCGCTTTAAGCCAGAAGCCTGCCTCTGTGGCTATAGATTTAGGCACAATAAGAAACATCCTTCTCACCTTACATACCCTTCTTTGGGAAGATTAGTCTCATAGGAAGTGAATTTTGAATTAAGCTCCAACCGGCATTCTTTGCTCTTTTCTTACCACTGAGAGAATGGCTGCCAGATTAGTCTTGCTGAAAGGCTGATCATGCCACTCTCCTGCTCAAAAACCTCCTGTGGCTCCCACTGCCCACTAAAACAGGTCCCGTTATTCAAGCTATTTGATCAGAGTGGGGCCGAGTCTCCCACTGGGACCAGAGGCTCCCACGGGTGGAGCCGTGACTCTGTCATCGCATGCACACTCACACTAACAGGGCCACACTGAGTCCTCCATTGGAACCTGGCTGTTGAAGGAGGTACTGGGGGGAGTCTGATGGGGGTCTCAATACCTAGGGTGGGGTGGGAACTCCCAACAGGTGTAGCACTGGCTCAGTGCCTGGCACATAATACATCTTCATTAAACATCGTGGAATGAATGAATGACTGGTCTTTGCCTTTGACTTTTCTATGCTCAGGGACAGAGACCAGGGCCACAAAGGAATATTCTTTGTTGTGGGGGGGCTGTCTGTACACTGCAGGATGTTCAGGAGCATCTCTGGCCTCTGCTTAGCAGCTTGCAGGGGCACTACTGGCATCTAGTGGGCAGAGGCCAGGGATGCCAGTAGAGCCCCCATCCAAGCTGTTAAAAGTCTCCAGACATTGCCAAACGCCCCTGGGCAGAGGCTGAATCACCCTCAGTTTAGAAACACTAGTCTAGGGCAGCTATTCTCAACTCCAGTGACATATCAGAACTACCTGGGGAGTGTTAAAAAAATACTGATGCCTGGGTCTCACCTTGAGACATTTTGACATAATTGGTTCTGGGGAGAGGCCTGGAATAGGGCATCTTGAAAACTCCCCAGGTGGTTCTAATGTTTAGCTGGGTCTGAGAGCCTTGGTCTAGTGCCTGGCAGTCTACAAGTTTCCATTATGAGCTGCACAACCCCCTGTGAGGGTGGATCATTATGACGGTTTGCTGACTGGAGAAGTGAGGTCCAGAGGGGTGTGGTGTTGCCCTGTAAGTGGTGGAGTTGGGATTTGAACTCAACTCACCAGACTCCTAACCCAGCACTTGTTCCAAGGGGCAAGCACAGTCTGGGTGGACTTGATGTTTGGGGGTCCTCAATGTACATTTTCCCTTTCCCAGGGGTTTCCCCTATCCATGGTCTCCCACCTCCTCACTCACCCTTCGGGTTCCCTGTGTTTCTTTATACAAAGGCACAGCTAGCAATCATTACACTTCAGTATGGACACGAGGTTAATTTCCCTCTTTCAAGGGAATTTGCTGGTCACGTCTCATCTATAACAGTGAAAGGGGTGGGGGGAAGCAGAAGAGGGCAAATGGGGGATAAATGGTGATAGAAGGAGACTTGACTTGGGGTGGCGAACACACAATGCAATATACAGATGATGTATTATAGAATTGTGCACCTGAAACCTATATAATTTTATTAACAAATGTCACCCCAATAAATTCAATAAAAAAATAAAAAATATATAACAGTGAAAAGGAAGGCTTTACATCAGCCCATAGATGAGGTGGGGGGCAGTTTGGGGTTGGTTCATGACACCTTTGAAGTCAAATCCAATTGGTAATTGCCTCTGGTTAAGGTTCGCCTCATTCTGGCTGTTTCCCAACTGCTATTCAGCTCCATTTCATTCGCAAATAATTTTTAGAACATCTCCTGTGTGCACATGCAGAGTTTGAGATCTCTGTCGGTCAGATCCCTTCACTAGGCTCTAAGTTCCCAGGCTGGAGAGCATCTTCTCTGGCTTATGTGGCACTCACTGCACTTTGGCCCTGACTGGACATGCAATGTGGGAGGTACACAAATGACATAACATCAGGTCATACACCCCAGACCCAAGCCAGTGCCCCAGGGGAAAGATCACACAGGTGCCACGTCATGACTAAATCTCTAGGCGTGTGGCTGAATTTCCCCCTTCTGGCCAGGGGTGGCATCATAAGAAGCCAACTCCAGAAGCCCCAGAGAAAAGGTGAGCACAGTGGGGTTGTGAAGCTTCTCCAAAACAGGCGTCTTGAGCAGAGATCACTTTTATTGGGATGGTTTGGTTTTAAGAAAAGAAAAAGAGACAAAGCCAAGAGACAGACTGCTAACAGATACCTGAAGGTGGCTAGACATTTCTGCCCCATGCTGTGCAGAGTGGGGCTCTGGCCCACATGTCTATGCCACTCATTCCTTGGGACTGAGGTCTGCCCCCACTTCAGTGCACCTTCTTGAACACTTGCTTGCAGACCACACCCTGCACTCTCATCTCCTGAAACAAAAACAGATGCTTGTCGTTGGCCAGAGTAAGGTCACACTTGGGATTCAGTACATCAAGGGGCAGAAACTATGAAAATACTCAGTGGTGCCCTGGCTGGTGTGGCTCAATTGGTTCAGCATCGTCCCATGCACCAAAAGGTCGCTGGTTTGATTCCCAGTCAGGGCACATGCCCAGGTTGTAGGTTCGGTCCCCAGTTGGGGTGCTCAACTGATCGACGTTTCTCTCTCACATAGATGTCTCTCTCTCTCTCTCTCTCTCTCACTCTCCTTTCCTCTCTCTAAAATCAATAAAAACATATTTTTAAAAAATGCTCAGTGGCTGCTATTTTCCCCAAGAGTTAGTTTGAACTAATTCCTTGGAAAGTCAGCCGAAGTGGATTAGTGGAGATCAGGCTGCAGCCTGTGAACAGAGTTGGTTGGGAAACATATGTGACTCAGAGCTGACCAATAGGATCGACCTTCTGACGCTCCCCCTGCCTCCTTAGGGGGCCAAAAGGCTCTAAGACCTCAGGCTTAAACCCAGGACAGAGTCTGTGCCCAGTCTTGGAATAAATCAGATCCAGACACATGGGTTGACTCCCCAAAAGGTTCAATAAGTTGCTGCAGACTCAGGTGGGTAAACTAGCACAGTTGTTCCAAGCTTTAGTTGCACATTGGAGTTAACTGGAGAGTTTGAAAAATGCCTGGGCCCAGCTTTAACCAGTTATATCAGTATCTCAGTGGGTGTAACAATGGAGTTGGTATTATTAAATGCTCCCAGGTAGTACTAAAATATAGCCTAGAAAGCCCGTGCCCTGTCTACAGGGCAGCCTCTGCTGATTGCTGCCAGGGGGAATGACAGCACAGCGTTGCCACACCTTCCAAGGTGTTTTTTTGTGTGTTTTTTAAGGATGCTAGAAACCAGAATATTTATGTGACATCTCCTAACTTTTAAATTGTTGGCTGAAGACATTTGAAACCCATTGATGGCCAAATAAAAGAGGCCTATGGCCCCCAGTTTGCAACCTCTGTCATGGAGCCACGGAACCACTGAGCTGAAAGGCCAGTGGAGATCACATAATCTATCCTCACTTCTCTGCAGTTGAGGAAGTAGGGCTCAGGGAGAGATGTTCCAGGTCAGGCATTGCAGCTTGGCTTTCTGTATGATCCTAAGCTGCCTCAGAAAACAATGCCCTCATGCCTCTTAGCCCACACACGTCTCCAAGCTCTGGCAGACCCTGATCTTTGCAGAACCCCTTTGTGGTAGGAGGGCATTTTGCAGAGGAGGCTGAGGGAAGGAAGGTAGCTACTCAAAGGCAACCAGTGAATCAGGACTAGAACCCAGTCACCTGGACTAGGCTCCTTTCTTAGATCAACGATAGTTAGGGAGTTCCAAGGGCACAGAAGGAGTGATGAGCGGCTTCCTCTCAGAGGACCTGTGTTAGTTTAGCCCTCCAGGCACTAAGGCCCCTTCTCTGGATGTGTGGGTGCTTTTCCCAGACAATGCATGGAGTAGAAGTGGCTTTGATTATTGAGATCATGTCTTAGAGAAGCTTAGAGAATTATCCTAGGTTCTCGTCTGCCACAATTTGGCATGGTGAAAAAAAGACATCATTTGGGAGTAAATTTAGTTCTGCCACTTTCTAGCTGTGTAACTTAAATGTGAGTCTCCATGCCCTCATGTTGCAAACAGGAACCATAACAGGACCTGGGCCATAGGGCTGCTGGGAGAACAGAAACAGATAGGGCTTAGCTCCACTATCATCGCACTTCTTCACCTCTTCCTTCTGACTGAACAAGTGGGTCATCCTAGACCTAGAAAACACATTGCTCAGTTTTTAAAGTCATTCAAGCAAATTCTCCAGGCCCTTGGAAGAGAGACTTCAGAGCAGAACCAAGGCCCAGCTTCGGGACATTCTTCCAGGGTCCATCCGGACTCAACAGTGACAGGGCCTCTGGGGCCCAGCCTGCCTGCTCCATCCCCCGCTGGGGCCCAGCCTGCCTGCTCCATCCCCTTCTGGGCCCAGCCTGCCTGCTCCATCCCCCGCTGGGGCCCAGCCTGCCTGCTCCATCCCCCCCTGGGGCCCAGCCTGCCTGCTCCATCCCCCTCTGGGCCCAGCCTGCCTGCTCCATCCCCCTCTGGGCCCAGCCTGCCTGCTCCATCCCCCTCTGGGCCCAGCCTGCCTGCTCCATCCCCCCCTGGGGCCCAGCCTGCCTGCTCCATCCCCGCCCCAGGAACCTACCAGGTGCAGCTCATCACCCTCAATCCACTGGGTCCAGCCACGTCCCTCCTTCTCACCCTTCTGCACACACTCGAGCTTGTCCCCATCCCAGCTCACCGTGGTCTGCCAAGCAAAAAAACATAGTTTATGTCAGTCTTGAGCAAGCAGCCCCTGGGGGCTGGAGGAAGGGCAGCGCCAACCTCGATAATCTAGTCACTTTCATGGTAGGTTTGCAGCCTAATGCTCCCTGTCCACCAGGTGCTCGTATTAAAATATGCAGATCAGTTTAAAAATTACAAAAACCTTAAAAAAATATCATTTAAAAGGGTAATTAGGAGAGAAATGTCATTGGGGTGGGGCTGTCAGAGCAAAGGCTGAGAATGGGCCTAGAAAAGAGGAGGGCTTCCGAGGGCGGAGTGCACGCTGGGTGTGGGCAGGTGCGGGCGAGTGAGGGCTGCTGTCCCGCCTCTTGCTGGTGAAAGGCACACTTCACAGACTTCCCTGCCCATCCCCAGAATTCATTCATTCATTCACTTGCAAGGTTTTGGGACACCCAAAAGACCACATCCCTCCCCTCAAAGAGCTGTTCATCTCATGGAGAATGACCTCAGATATTAATACCAACTGCAGGTACGAATGGCAGCTCTTGCCGGTGCTCCCTGTGCTGTCTCTAGATCCTCCTGACTGTCCCTTTGGGACATGGATTAGCATCTCTGTTTTACAGATCAGGCTAAGAGACTTGTCAAGTTCATCCAATGGTCAATGGCAGAGCCAGGTCAGAACACAGACCTGTGGGGCTCCTAAGTCTCCCTTCCCACTGAACTTCACTGCTTCCCTAAGTGTCCCATGGTCACCAGTTACAGACCAAGGTGGTGGGAACCCAGATGAGAGTCAGGGAGGAAGAGGCTCTGGGAGGAGGGAGCATCAGGGTTGGGCCTTGAGGGACAGAAGAATGAAACTGAAGCAGAGGAAACGGGGTGTGGGAAGAAGGGTTCTTGGGGGACCACCATGAGACAAAGGCACAGGGACGAGACAGCACAGATGTGCTCAGGAAGCTCCTTGGGAGGTTCCAGGGAACTGTAGGGGAAAGAGAAGGAAGTCCCCTGCCCCTCAGTGCTCGCTACCATGCCCACCCACCACCTTTGAGCCCTCACATCTTCCCAGAGCACTGGGTGCCCTGCCAAGTGCTGGTGTGCTGAAGGGAAGACAGATAACAGGAGCAGGCCCAGCCTGTGCCGATGGGAGACATCACAGTCTTATTGGAGCGGCAAAGGGCCCACCCAGAAATATGGGGTGCAGAGTGTTGGAATTCAGAGGTGAGACAGTCTAGGAGCTCATGATCAAGGCTGGGACCTGTGTACAGGGGCAGTGGGCCTCTTTCCTATCTGCAGCGACCTGCCTCCCTCTGAACAGCCCTTCCACACGGGGCCTGCTTCCCCACTGTCCCAGTTAGAACTCCGTTTCCCCTGTTCACTGTGTGACTCTGAGCAAGTCCCTTCTCTGGGTCCCAGTGTTCCCATCTGTCATATTAGGGGGGTCCTGCCTTTACAGAGGTAAGGTTCTAGGACTCTTGTGTTCCCAGCCTTGCTCAGCTGAGTCAGGACAGTCAGTAACAGCCTGATGAGGATTTAGGAGAGGAGAAATCTGGGAAATGGGTGTGGGGTGAATGTGGCCACTTCCTGTAGGAGGACCACCTTCCCTGGCCTCCCGACCCATCTCTTTCCTGGGCTTGCTGATCACTACTGCCCTCTGCTGTTGGGATGACATATGTGAGAAGGCACATGCACAAGGTGACAAGTGGAGCCAGCTGTGTTCTCCCAGCTTTGCACAGGAATAAATCTGACTCCTGCCCCTGGAGACTGTTCCCTGAGAGGGGGCACAGGAGGACTTGGAGTGGGGGCGCCTCTTCTCCTGGCCCAGAGCTCTCTTGGGGTACATGTCCAGCCCCAAACCAGAGAAAAGCTCCCACCTCGAAGTCAGAACATTAACGTCTGACGAGGTGTCATGGGTAATGACCATTAATGATGTCAAGCCACAGGCAAGATGCCCATTTACTCGGCGCCCTGTCCATCCCAGGCCTGTGCAGGGCAGAGGGGACTGGGAAATCAGACAGATCTCAACTTCAAGGAGCTCCTAAGAACACTTGGCTTCGTCATTAACTGAGCTTCTCTTCGTGTATTTATCCAGAAGCCTACTCTGCATACTAAGGGCTCCAGACTCAAGCAGAGGCCAAGCGAGAATCACCGGGTCTCAGCTACGATAGACACACTTCTGCCTCTACCAGAGATAGAGCCAATGAGCATGGTCACATCCTCTGTACTGGAAAACACAAGAAATGCTCGAAAAAGAACACAGTGAAAAGAATACCTGTAAACTTGCCTCTTCCGAGATTACTCTAACATCTCGATGTACTTCTGTCTGGTGTTTTTTTTTCTATTGATACACACATATATATATTTCTGTTTTTAAAAAATTAGGGCTGGTGTAGGAGGCAGAGCTCAGGTACAGATGGGATTTGCTTGTTGAAGTTGAACAATAACTAGTCTTTTTTTTTTTTTTAGTTGAAGATTCATGGAGATTGATGGACATGCTATTTACCAGGGCTAAATGTTTTAGAAGCTCCTTCCCTTCCCGGAGACTTGGCTCCAACAGGAGACCTCGCCGCCTGCCGAGCTGGGCGCCAAGGAGTTCTGCTATGTTCGCTCTCTGTAAAATTTAATTAGTCTTTGTTTAAGCAGGAGGTCTACTTGGAGACTTCCCACTGTAGCTGTGATGACTCCAAAAATGTGACTTAGTTTTCCTACCTTGCTACCCCTACATTCACTTGTGGTGGGAGGCATTTTTCTTTTTAAGCTTTGTGTCCTGTGGGAATAAACCAGCCATTGCCCAAAGGACCAGATTTCTCCTAAGAACAGAAAAGGAAGAGGTCATTCTGTGACCCGCCTCTGCAGTGAGCAGCCAGCCACCTTTGCTAGACCAGGTGCAGTGAAGTCTGGGACAGGGATTCAGCTTGTCCTGTGAATACCAGATCCCATCCGATGTCGTTTTCTAGCTTGGACCCTCACCACTGCTTGATCCACTTAATGAGGGTCTAATGGGGGGATTTCAGCCAAGAGCGTGTTCCTGATGCTTCTCAAGTACACAGGGAGGCAGATGCTCTGGGGGCTGAGGTGGACATGGTACAAACCATGGGGATGGGCAGTGCTGCCTCCAGTCCCCAACCCCATTAGCTCTGGGACTTCACCTTGCAAATGAAGCCCAGACAAATTCAAGGGCAAGGGTGAAGCATGGCCATGCTCAAGTCGCCTCCTAACAGTAATTCTTATCACATAGACCACCTAAAAGTCTGCAAATGGGCTGCAGCCCAAGAGCAGCTTGTTGCAAAGTGAAGCCGGTCTAACTTTTCTATTAAAAACTAATAACCTCCAATACATTGGCCTTGTCAGCAGCTTTCCCAGCAAGACATGCACCAACAGATGAATGAAGACAGCTCTGCATCACTCTGACAAGGGAATGTCACTTTGAAAGCCATTGTCTAGTTCCCCTGACCACTTAGAAAACCCAGCTGGCTCTGCTGTATGGGGGCCAGTGACAGAAAAAACCTGACTCCTGCAGGCGGCCTGAGGAAGTATGTCCCAGGGAAGTCTCAAGTGCCCCTTGCACTGTGCAAGTGACCTGTACTAGAAGTGACAGACCATTCCCGTTAAATGGATCCATCTTTAGTAGTGACCTTGCATGAACCACTAGTAGGATTCAAATTGGCTGCCAAGAATTTGTGACATTTGTCACAGCTCCCACATGCCCAAACTCCCACTTCTGAGAGTGTGGCAGGGCAGGGGGAACCATCAATTGCTTATCCCTCCACACTCGCCCACCCAGCTCTAGCAGGCCCTCTGCTTATGGACCTCTGGGAGGGCGGGGGCTGAACCTTGTCCTCCTTGTGATTCCAGAGCCAGGTCATAAGAGGGCAGGTCTTGTCCATGGTGCTTCTGCCTGCAGAGCCAGGATTGACCCAGGTCTGACTCCAAAGCTTGTGCTCTTTAAATTTGGGGGTGGCCCAGATGGCGTGGCTCAGCAGTTGAGCATCAACCTATGATCCAGGAGATCTGGGTTTGATTCCCTCTCAGGGCACATGCCTGGGTTTCGGGCTCGATCCCCAGTCAGGGGCATGCAGGAGGCAGCCGATCAATGACTCTCTCATCATTGACGTTTCTCTCTCTCTCCCCCTCTCCCTTCCTCTCTGTGAAATCAATAAAGATATTATTTTTTTAAAAAATTGGGGGGTGGGGGGATTGAAAAACCAAACTGTACTTTCTATACATGATGTGAACCACTAAATGATGCAAATTGGCTATTCCTCCTGGAGTTTGAGTTTAAAGTACGCTTTACCCTTTGAGGGTTCCTGAGACAATAAGGAGATTCTCAGCCTCTGGAGCTTGTGTTAAATAAACTGAGCAGACGGGAAGGGCAAGGAGAGTAACAGAGAACCTGCCAAATGCCTAGTACTTTGCTGGGAGGATTCCATAATGTTTCACTTGACCTTCATGTTTTAGAGCTGATAAAAATGAAGCTTAGTTAAGTAACCAGCCCAAGCCACCTAGGGGTTAGGAGTTGAGCCATCACTTAAACCCAGTTCTTTCTGGCTGAGAAATCCACTACTGCCTGCAAGGCCAGGCTGCTGCCTAAGTGGATGGCCTGGCTCCACTTGTTCTGATCCATTCCTAGGGGGCTGGCAATTATCTAAAATCAGCACATTCAGGGGGAAAAGCCAATTCACTCTAAAAGCAGATTAAAACTAAATTAATAAGGCCTTAAAATGTGAACAAGTAATTAGGGACATAAAAGCTGTTCAAAGCAACTACTACAAACCAGTAAAGCCACAAAAAGGCCTTTGTGGGCATTGGAGAAGGCAATTCCAATACCACGAAGAAGCTTACAGCAAATGAAAACAAATTCTTAGGACAAACAAAATGATTAAATGTTAAGACTCATCTTGACATGTCATTTTTAAAATTCCTTAAACATTTAAGAAAGTACACAGAATCAATTTTAAAACAAGAAACCATCAGAGAGCTCAAGGCCCCATGAGGCCAAGATTCTGGATGGGGAGGAGGGAAATGGGG